TACAAACGTATTAACTAATTAATCTACACAGTATTACTAAATATAGTTATATATGTGAAATATTAATATTAATGTAGGACATTTGTGATCAAAATTATAAATCTCAGATTTAGAGTAATAAAAGTATATAGAAATAAGAAAAAGAGAATAAATATGATATTTAGAATATAAATATAAGATTAGAATAATAAAATAAAAGTGAGATAATTATACGATTGGATAAAAATAATATTAATCAGGTAATAAATTATAAAAAGGGAATTTCGCATAATCAATGAAAGATTATCAAATTAGAGAAATTTATGTTACTATGGTAACAATATTTTTTAAAGCAATAATAAGTTTTTGTAATATTGTTAATAATATTTTATTGAATTATTTTACAATTTTATTTATTTATAGATAATATAGTAATAAATATTTATATTATATTCCAATTACTAGTAAGTTTTTCTATTATAAATTTTATTTCTTGATTTAATTATAATATTTTTGGATATTTATATTAGCAAATAATTTCTTTTAATATTAATTATAGCTTCTTTGTTATATATTACTTTTGTTTTAGATTATTTTGTTAAATAGTTACTATATATTGATTCTTTTATTAAATTAGTTATATAGTTCAATAAGTTCTACTATAATATAATTAAAAAATTGTTCAACTTTAATAAGATATAAAAATTCTTTGAATTTATAACTTTTAATAAATTAACAAATAGAGTAAAATTTTACAAATCTTTTATATTAGTTTTTATTTTATTCTATCAATATTATATTAATAGATTTTATTATATTTAAAGTATTTAAATAGAGAATCTTTATGTATTTCTTTCATTACTACTTCTATTTCAGTTTCTCTTAATATTCAAAGTGAATTGATAATATCTTTTTGTTAGTTAATTTTAAATAATAATTCATTTTTTATGACAAAATATTTAGATTATGGTTATAATTATTTCTTTTATTGTTTAGTAAGAGTTAAGTTATAAGTTTTATTGTTCAAAAATTAAAGTAAGTTATAATAAGTTATTAAGTTTATTTTTAGTAGTATTAGTTATTTAAGCTATTAATAATCAGCAGAGTTTATTCAGGATAGAGTATCAGTATTTTGATTTACTCATTTGAAACTATAACTAATTATGAAGTTGTATTCCATTATTATAATAATCCATCAGAATATTCTTGGTATTAAGTTTGTTTGTTTGGTGAAAAGTTATTATAATATGTTATAAGTCTTTTGAACCTAAAGAGGGGGTTGCTTATTTATAGAGATTGCTTATTCATGGAACTTTATATATATAAAAAACTATATAGAAAAATGCATTTCAGCTATTGCATCACAAAGTTTTATAAAAATTTTCAAAACTTTATCTAGATGATTAAAAAGTAAATGTCTGGCATTCAAAACGAAATATATTACATGATTTACAAAATAAATAAGTGTATTAGTTATTCAAGAAAATTTTTGCTGAGTTGTAGTAAAAGTTCTTAATGACTCCATCTTATGAGTTTAAAGAGTTATGTATTAGCAAGATCCAAGACATATATTACCAGGTGATTTGTGACCTTAGCAGGAACTATATGACATAATATTTGTGGAGAAATGTCATCATCATTACTTTCGTGCGAAATGTAGTTTTTCTTTGGACTCTGTTAATTTTTAAGAATATTTTTAGTTGTTTCTTCATTTTGATGACAAAGTCAAGAGATATTGATGAGACTCATCGCGTTCTAGCAAGAAACTACAGGGAGAAGGGACTCCATTTTGTGCTTTAAAAATAAATGCATAGATATGGTCACATGAGTACAAATGCCGACGAGATTACTTTCATGCTAAGATGATTATTGTGAGCACATAAAAATCTCTTAACTACACAAATGGAAATTACTTTTTTTCATTTTTATTGCAATTAAAAAAAGCTATTGGTACTTGGAATATTATTTTTTCAACTGATTATATTAATAAAGTCACAGTATTCCGACTAAAAATACTGACAATGAATGCTAGCAGTAATTAAATTTATTCCATACCGATTCCGGAATATTTCGCAATTTTGCGGAATGTATGGTCGTAGTCCATATGTTCTCTAAGTTTGCTTGGTGTTTATTTTGTATAAGCTAGTGACTTATATTCGCATTATCATTATACGACGGAATATTTTAATGAAATGATAAAATATAGGTTTTATTTCAAATCAATGAATAAAAATAAAGTATGTTTTGAGGATACATGTTGTAAATATTGTTTGAATCCACAATTTTGGAATCATTACGTAGGGAAATTCTTTTCTTCAACCTGCTTTCCTAACGACTTCCTTTGAAATACATTTTTTTATTTTTGGAAGGAACTTTGACACAAGACACACAATTTATATTGCTCCATGAAGCATAAATATTAATATGTGGTTTTTTTCCAACGTCAAATTTTTTCTGCTTCAATTACAGGCTAAGAAATTTGTGAAAATTCGAATTCATTATTAACGTTAATCCTATAGTATTCATTGAAATTTTCCCATTTGCGTAAATACAGTACGTACGTACGTACTGTGCATACTGTATACATGTTCATGCATAAATTTTAGCATTATTCGTTATCACTACGTATACATGTACATAACATAAAGAACAATTCTACTTGTCGTTATCCATTCTAATTCCGCGCCCCGCAGTTAGTGACCGTTAAAACAAAGGATAATGGTACTATTTTAGGGAAACACATGTCGCACGGAGCAATCTTCCGAGTAATTTGTGCAACGTTTTTCGAAATAACGGATTTTGTCTGGATCGGCGAATGTGGCGAAAATATATCGATATGTATAAATTACCGTTACCGTTACGAGTGGATTTTTCTTTTTTTTGTTTCGTTCATTCAAGAATTTGTGGAAAAAGGAACAGAAAATCATGGGTAACGATAAGAAAATCTCAAAATTTTTGCTTGAACTTTCTAAATAATTGTTATTTTAATAAATTCTTTAATCTATTCTAGCGAACACACATGGTACATGTGCATGTATATGTCGATGCTTATATGGTATTTTTGCCTCGTTTATCCTTGCATTTTACGTCTACTTTGGGGTAATGCTATTTTTAATTGTATCATTCATTAGCCTATCAAACAACTCCAAACTCTTATTGTTTTGTTTCTGTTTGAATAGTTTCGTTATATCAAAACTCATACAATTGGAAAAAGCTGTGGATCAATAAACATCGACGATATCACACCAATACAATTAAATTTTGATCCATTTGTATTTCACGAGCTGAATATTACTAGTGCTGGAAGATTTACGGTATTTGGATTTCTATGCTCTTTTCTTTTTTTATTTTGATCTATTTTTCTAACGCTAAATATAAACTAACATAAATAGACGAGTGAAGTTCAATTTTATGACAACTCTAATTCGCAAAATGTCGAAATTGATTTACGCCTTAGTTCCGCTAAATCAAGTGATATTTCTTTCAAATACGAGACAAATGGCGCGACTAAAATAATAAATATGGTAATCCTATGAAATTTAAAGCCTCTGTTTAACATTGCACATTATCTAATCATTATTCTCTCCAATTCAATAAATTTAGCATGAATCAAAAATCACTTGGGCATTTTGGGACTCAAATTTTTACTTCAAGGCAAAATGCGGACGAGCTCGTATTGATATCCACTTGCCTCATCTTGCAAATGCTACCGATTTATTGTTTAACCTCGGTTTTTTGGATGTCAAATTTTTCACATTCTCGGATCCTTCGAAAGTCCCAAAGTTGAATGTAATCACTTCTTCTGGTGACATTAAACTTTTGGTAAACTTGACTTTTATTTTTGTGTTTTAATAGAAAACCTGAAAAAACAGATTATTTGATTCATCATGCATATATTTTATTTGTAGAATGCGTCGATTGATAAGTTGTCGCTTTCAACTAATAAGGGGGGTTATGTAAAAGGAAACTTTGTTTCTGTTCAACGTAATTTATCTGTTGTTACAACAAAAGGAGACGTGGAGTTAAATATAAACACCGCGAATGGTACTGCAATTCAAGTGAATACGATGAATGGAGATGTAGAAATATATCTCGTATGTATATACATGTTAAACTTCTTTTGTGGTTAAGTATTGGATGAAATCTAAAAGAAATCAACTATTTAATCTATTAAAATAGAACAATACTTTTTCCGGACAATATAACATTTCAACTTCATCCGGCGACCTCAAAACCATTAACCCCAACATAACGAATGTGAAAAATACCGATGGAACTATAACATCGTCACTTTCGCGAAACGCGTCCTTGTTTATTTCTACTGAAAGTGGCGACATTGATGTCGATTTCAGAGGTTCAAAAGATTATTCGTCCTCTGCTGAAGAATCTTTACAAGGCACTATTTTAGTCACTTTACGGAATTTGTTTGTGATTTGGATTATTATGCTTATTTTTGGGTAGTGAATATTCTTTCCTTTGATTGGTATAAATTAATAGTTTGGACTCTTTTATCTAGACAAAATCTCTAACGTTAACTATATAACTATCATTTAACTTTTTTTACTATGAATCTTTTGAATATACGTATACGTATACGTATTTTATAATATAGTTTTTCATCATCCGAAGAGGTAAAACAATAAAAACTTAATTTTAAAAAATTCACTTTATAATACAAGAACAAAAACAAAAAACAATGGTTTTCATAACGTTGTTTACACTTGTACATGTACATACGTATGACGTTACATATATCGGTATGTTAAAATATCGACACGAAAAAAGTTACAAACAATAAAACATTTAAATAGCGTTATGAAATGTTTTCTACTTCATCTAAATAAGTAAACGTAATACCGATACGTATCGATATGAAAGTGTACGGCTCTTCTTTTAACACAATCAACTTCCAAATGTCCCATCTGTCAAAAAGAATACGATTACTGCTATTAACGTTAATGTTCAGATGATAATTTCTAAAGTGTACATATTTTTGTTTTTAATAAAATTTTTAAGTCTCACACATTAAATGTTTTTCTACAAAACCCTATTTTTACACTTTCTTATCGTTATATCAATTGCGCATATTGTTCTACATGTACTAACGCTAATTAATTGTAAAACAACACATTTTCAAAAAAATAAATAGATTCGGACTTCTCCAAAGTGCATATCGATACGATATCGTTATGGAAAAGAAGGCGATCTTCGCATGTAGTACATGTACATGTATTTATGTGGTGGACACGGAACATTATGATGAATGTAACTGGTGTGATAATGGTAAAGAAATGATTCTTAGATTTCTCCGTTACCATTACAGACATTATTGCACCTATTTCATTTATAAGAACACGTTACGACGTTTCTCTATACGGTGTATGTAGAAGAACAACCTCTCTTTAAGAAGAGATTTTGCAAAATTCCATGTTCTTATATATGACTTTATACGTATATTTTATAATATAAATAAAATGTCCAAAATTAACAATGAAGTCGAAAAAATAGACATGTTTTTAACATCTTCGTCTCCATCTACCTGTATTCCATCAACAAACGACATCGTTTCTAATTCGTCAAGATCGAACCCATTCAAGCAATAGATATAGATTTAAATGCAAACATCATCTTCTCAAAGCATGAACCAGCAACAAATTGACCCTGAAACCATAATGAATGATTTATTGTTTCTTTTTATCAATATTTAATGAAAAATTTAACAAAACTTGATTCAAAAACTCTCAAATACCCTATGATAAAATAACATTTTGGCAAAGTTTACAAAATATATTATAATAGGTTTTATTTATCATTTTGGTGTCAACTTTGACAGAGATTATGACCAAGCCTTAAATATTATCAACAATCAGCAATCCAAGGGATGCTGGGGCACAATATTTAATCGAGAATTATACGACGACAAGAACAAAAAGCATTCGAGTGGTACTTAAAAGCAGCAGAGTTATGAAAACAATCTTGATTTCTATTATGCGAATGTAAAAGGAAAAAAGAACAGAGTTGAATAAAAAATAGTCAGTGGTATTTGAAAAAAGCAGAGTCAGGAGATCCTAACGCACAAAATAATCTTGTTGTCTATTATATGTATAAATGGGAGAGGAACAATCAAGAACTAATAAAAGCATTTGAATGGCTTTTAAAAGCAGCAGAGACAGGAGATGCTAATGCACAATATAATCTTGCTATTTGTTACCAAAATGAAAAAGGAACAATCAAAAACGGAAAAAAATGTATTCGAATGGTGCAAATGGAAAATGGACAATCAAAGATGAACTAAAAGCATTTGAATGATACTTGAAAGCATCTGAGTCAGGAGACTCTAAAGCACAATATAGATAGACAATGAACAATTAAATATAAAAAAAGCATCCAAGTGGTATTTGAAAGCAGCGGAGTTAGGAAACCTTAGAGCACAATATAATGCCACCTTATTATATGATATCGGCATAGAAAAAATAAAAAATTTTTCAGAATTACTTTTAAAAGCTGCTTATTTTGGCGATAAAAGAAGCCAATTTTATTAAGATTTAGTTATGAAAGAAATCTAATTACAAAAGATATCGATATGGCAGAATCTTTATTCAAACTTCTATTTTCAACTTGGGCAATGTTATAAATATGGAGAAGGAGTAGACAAAGATGATAGTAAAGAAAGCATTTGATTTGTATTAATATTAAGAGCTGCAGAGTTCGGATAATAAAGCTCAATTTAATCTTGGAAAATTTCATCAATATGGAAATGGTGTCTCAAAACATCTTGATTTAGCATTAAAGTGGTATCAAAAGGCTGTGAAAACGAACACAATCGAGCTCCTGAAATGGTTGGATTTTTCAATTTGAAAAAATATATTCTAAATAGTTGGTCATCGATTTTAGTATATTACTAGAAATTCGAATGCTGTATATCAACTGTTCTTTTGATTGTACATGTACATGTATTTATATAGAGATCATTTGTGTTGACATACGTATCGATATGGTAAATTCTTGGTGAATCTATTTCTCAAATTTTCGAAAAAAATCTAGATTTCCACAATACAAATGTTGCATCTCTTTCTTTTGTTTGTTTTTTTATTTTTCTTCTCTCCTTAGTAATCATGGACATTTTTTATTGTAAAATAGCATTTTTGGAATTATATTTTTAGAATAAATCTTATATTTTATGGTTTTTAATTACAATAAATACAAAATGGTGAATGTTTCCGGACTTCAGTGGAACAATCAAGAAGATCCGGCCAGAATTATTTTAACATTTGTGGTAACTGTTTTTTACTCAAAATAGAAAAGGATCCTACCCTATACAAGTTTCTCCCACGTGGTGATGGTATTTTTCAGGAGGACAATGCAACACCACATAGGTCAGTGGTTGCAACAGCCACTCGCGAAGCTTCTGGAATCAAGACATATTTTAGCTGTAGAAAATTATGACATGAAATGAAAGACGCTGTTCGCCGACGCTCTCTGCATCGTCTATTCTCACAGGACTCGAACAATACGCTGAAGGATCTTGCACTCGAATACTATCGAAAGCTTATTTATAGTATGTCCGAACGAATTGTCACGGTTATTGCTTGAAAATGGACATCATACAAAGCATTGATATTAGACGCTGACATTTAAACTTTATTTTTATTTATTATTTGTTTACAATCCTGTTTTTGAGTTGTCAAAATTAATGGTTTGTAAGTGGCCGGATCTTTATGATGACCCACTGTATTAAAGAAAATTACAAATTCACACTATATCGAGAATTTATTAATAAATTTCTATATATAACAAAAGAATTATTCACTAGGCTCTTTATCTCGACCCTATAAGAAATAGTGGCTGGAAATTACACGCAAATAATGGGTAAAAGGCACGTATATATACGTAAATATACGAAAACAGATTTAAACATCCGCAAAAAATATGTCAAACGTGACATTTTACATCTTGTAAACGCACAGAATAATTCTAGAAATACACACGTAAAATCAAATTACTTATATTTTTCGTGTACATTTACAGCCTTTACACGATGTAAAATGTCACGTTTTGCGGATGCTTGTGTTGGTCTTCGTATATTTACGCAAATCTACGTGTCTTTTACCCATTATTTACGGGACACGATTTCTTATAGGGCGAGAGTATCCTATCCTTGTATTCAGAACACGAATGCATTCTACTAAGTGATTTTTTTCACACATAATTTCTTAAACTATAAAAATAATCTGATAAAATATAGGATACTAGGTGAATGTCATGAATTATAAAAATTCTTTGTTACAAACCCCATATTTGATACAGCCAGTATATTTATCGATGGTGAAGCAAAGAAATTGCACTGTTTCCTGGTGTAATTCTTTTCTCTAATAATAATATAATGATTTAAGGTGATGTGAAGGAACTAATGTCATATTATCGTTATTAATTCTTTCACAATCTTTAATCTCAGTGATGATTGCTTTCTTATAATCACCTTCATTTGTGTGAATTATTCTATTTAATTCTTTGTTTTTATTGATGCAATTTATATCATACCATCATTATCATTGACATTACTTGTATCTTCTTCAGTATCTTCTATGTTGCCAAATTCGTCATTCCTGTCAATTACTAATGTTATATTATCGTAATTATCACTTTCACCATCTTTAATCTCAGCGACGATTGCTTTCTTATAATCACCTTCGTTCGTGGGAACAATATAGATAATTATTCTATTTAATTCTCTATTTTTATCAATGTGATTTATTATACTGTCATTACTTGTATTTTGTCTATTTGTCATATCTTCTTCGTTATTCCTATCGATTACTAATACTTCATCTTTGATCTCAATGACGATTGCTTTCTTATAATTACCTTCATTCATGAAAATAATACAGATAATTATTTCTAATTCTATATTTTTACCATCATGATCGTTTACATTATTTGTATCTTGTCCATTTATTATATCTTTGATGTTGCCAGATTCATCATTCCCATCGATTAATATTCTATTATCATTACTATAATTTTCACCATCTTTGATCTCAGTGATGATTGCTTTTTTATAATCATCTTCATTCGTAGAAACAATACAGATAATCATTTCTAATTTTGTGTTTTTATTGATACGATTTATACCATCATTTTTATTGACATTACTTGTATCACTCTTTGTTACTAACAAAGTAGGACGTTTGACTTTTTCATATTTCTGAAAGGGTGACATCAAGTCAGAAGATTTTAAGATTACTGTTATCAGTGTTGTATTTGTTGCTAGTGATAGTGGTACAAAGAGATTACTCTTTCTTTGTCTAAATAAACTGTTGACATTCTTACTAAATTCACTAAGCACTGTTTTATTGATCACCAATGGTAATAATGGAAAAACATTAGGTATGTCTGCTTCAGTCTTCTGAGAGCTTACTTTTCTGACTCTTAGTAAATGAATGGGTCATAGTTTTGGTGCAGATTGAAAATGCGTTCTGTACGTTTTTTGAATGGGTTGTATTTTTGGTGAAAGTCAAAAATGCGTTTTTGTCAATGCAAACTGTCTAGCAAATATTTCATATTGTGTATGTATTTGTAAATAGCAGTATTAAAAAAAGCATGCAAAAAATATTTCTTTGTTTTCTTGAGTGATATATAGAAAGCTATTTTATTATTATTACTAATAGAACATCTGAATTTATAGCCTCATCACGCTGTTCAAATCAAGTTCTGGGGGAGGGTTGCACTTGTTAACATCGATTATGCATCATGATTAATAATTGTTTATGAGATGGGAAAAAAACAAGCATGAAAAATAAACACTGCAATTTTATTGGTTATAGATTAATTGATATGATAGTATTGGTAAGAAGAATTAAACTCATTTATGTCATATTTTTTCAAGTTCTGATTCATCATAAACGTCAGATAATATCAGACTTGGTGTTTTACTGTTAAAATTATTGTAGTTTTGGAAATCCAATTCAAAGTTGATCTACAAATGGTATTTTGTTTTAAAAAAATCTTATTAAATCACGAGATTCTATAAAATCACTATTTTGGCTTAAAATACTGTGATATAATGCTAACTTTCAATTGGATGAAAATTTACACGTGATATTTAATTTTGTTTGTTTAATGTTCAGGGAGGAGGACGTTAAAAAATCAATTAATTTCAAACAGTCTTTGTAAAAAAAAATGAATTGCCATTGTCTCTATCAGAAAAATCAATTAATTTATGCATACAGTGAGATTATACAAACATAGAAAAATTTCCTAAAGAGTTTATAATAATATAAAGATTGATTTTCTGACTGCACTAATATTGCTGATGGTGCCTTAATGATCTAATCCATTATAACTAATCTAATCTTGTTTGTATTAATAGCATCATGATAAATCAGAGTTGATGATATAAGCATGGAACCTTGGTCCATCGGCAACACTGACTGGATCATTGATTTATCAATGAGAACTAATTAACTTGGTCCATTATAGTTTATTTTTATTTTATTTTTATGATATTATAGTTTTATTTTTTTAGCATTAATGATAAGGGATCTGATATAGGTGACTTCTATTTAATACTCAGATTCTGCTTTTTGAACTACAATAAACAAAGTGATTTTATTTTCGCGCAATTTAAAATTATTGCCATTTAAGATATGGCACCTAAATCGAGTGATACTTATTTTTGGTAGAATATAATTGATTTTTTTGAACTAAATAAATTTTGAAAAATTGCTAATTGATTTTAATAATATTAGTTATACTATTAATTTATATCTAAATAATGTTGATTTATATTCTAATATTATATAAAATAAATGTGTAAAGTATGAAATTTATTATTTTATTTTCTATAGCATTGCAAATCTGTTCTAATAACTTAGCAAATAAAACAAAACTAACAGAGTAATAAATATTCATGTTCAGAAAACCAATTAGTATTAATGCTTATTCATGGATAATATAATAAATAATTTAATACTTATCAGAATTTTAGCTGATCACAAAGATATTTTAACAAAGTTCTATTTTATTTTTAAGAAGTCATCTTATAAAAGAATTCCAAGCTTTATGAATTATAATATACTTTATAATTGAGTTTATAAATTATATAATTAATTAAATAATTTTCAGTTAAATGATTGCAAGCAATTATAGTACCCATACTAGTAACTAACTATTTTGTAACTTATTTGCTTTAATATGATATGCAAGCTAAATTTTTCGGAAGTTAATATCATTTTAATTTTTGCTTTGCACTTGAGACTTGTGCATAAATATAACATTTAGTTTTGCTAATAATAATTTGATGAAGAGGATGGATAATTTTGATAGCGATAGATCAGATTCTACTGACTCGTTATATTTCATAATCTATTGACGATAATAGAGAGCTACAATCATGGATTACGATACAGTCAATAATATCGTCACTTTGAAATATCAACAAAAACATGCACTCTACTGATGCTATATATATCGAATTCTTTGTTGTTTCTTCTTGATTGATTTCTTTTTTTAAGTAAATGCAAAGATTTCTTGATTTACTTTTATACCAAATACTGTAAATTCTCGAAATAATGGGCATAGGCATTATTTCAAAACTCGCACCTTCTAAAAATAGCATAGTTGATCTCAAAATAATGCGCATTTTACATGTACATGTACAATATATCACGGATCTATAACATGCGTACGTATATGCAGTAGTTTATTTGGATGTAACGTTAGAGTTTTTATGAGTTTGTAATTAGCATAATGGTCCCAGAGGCGATTTCCTGCTCAGCTTTTTTTTTATTTAGGAACAGTTTAAAAAAAGAGAGATTAAAAAAAATTCATACGTAAGTATTGTCATTGTCCTGTATCGGTATATAGAAATGAGAGAAATCCGGATCGACATTCTATTATATACATGTACCCCCATTGGGTTCAGAAATCGACTCTTTATTTCGAAATAATGCGCCGATGCCCGTTCTTTCGAAACTTTATGGTAATAACAATAAAAAATAATATAATATAAACGTTATACTATTAATTTGAAAATTGATGGAAACTTTACAAATTTTTTGGTATATTTTCTTTAGTCTTAGATAATTTGACATCGATATTATACGTAATCATTTTTTCATATTTAGAAAAGATTCTGTTTCTTGTGTTCTATCCTCATCACTATCATAAGGTTGAATAGGGTATGTAATACGAATTCATTTATATTGTCGTTCAGTTTTTTCATTCCTTAGCTTAATATATCACTGTACAATTGACTCATTGGCAGCACTTTTTTTCAATCTTAAAATAATCAATTTAAATTAATATAGAATTAAATTAAATCAAAATAAATATTATATATGTCCTTGCAAACGATTTTAGCACTTTGTATGCAAAAAGCCCATAGTTGATCATAATAGTTGAACCAAAGCTGAATTAACACATATACTAAATAGATGTAAAGCCATCAAGTGCCAAGTCCTTCACCATTTCCCAAAAATAAACAATACTTTCATCAAACTGAAAATCCTCTCTCTGATATAATAAAAATTTATGTAAAATATACATTGTGTTTAGCCGAATCATACATGATAATAATTTAACCATTGAGTGAAATGTGTATAAAAGAGACCAAAAGCATTTGAAGAAAAATCTAAATTCATGACTTATTATAAAGTTTTACAATAAGTTATTCGAAAATTCTATGATAATAACAATGGAAATGGATTAAAAATTCAGTGAAACAATATGAAATGCTTTCTAAGCTCTTTTTAAGTAATAAAAATAATTAATTACTCTACTCTCCCTATATCTAATAATAACTAATCATAATTCATTATGGTATCTTTAGTCAATACCTAATTTAATTAATAATAGGAAGCTTCCTACGTTTACTGTGAGTCTTTTATATTAAAAAAAGTTCCAATATCTACCAATGATTTTGATGTTGTGAACAAAATGCGCGCTATGACTCCAACAAGAACATAGAATATGGAATTGTTCATTTGAAAAAAGAAAAGCAGACATTTGCCGAATACTCCTACATCATCTGTAATCGTCAATGTAACAGCGCTGAGTAGATCAGCAGTGATCAAATCATGACTGCCACCGTTTCTCTTAGACTTAGGAATAGGTTCTGCAGCAACCATGGAAAAAAGAGAATGACAATCAAAAATGCAAGGAAGTTATTTATGTATTGGAAATTCATTTGTTCGCATATGTGAGATGTTTTAAAGAATATGCTTTTTGAAATTTTTGTCTTAATTATTTTATCTAAATTTATCAATTTAAAAGAGCCCTCTTTATAAGAAAACGTATTGGCATTAATATCTTTGAAAGTATTGATATCAATATGCAACTATAATATGTATTTATTTTTTTTAAAAAAAAAATAGAACACATAAATGCATAGCATTGCATTTTTCTATGATGCATACAATTATTCAAAAAGCAACATTTAAATCTTTGTTAAAATAAAAAACTAGTTATTTCTACTTATAACAATACATGTATTAATATTATAAAATACGATCAACTCTGGTTACAATATCGGGGAGATTATTATATCTAAATGTTATGATATCCAATATACTATATAGATATACACTAGAGAAATTCTGTTCCAGACTGATAGTGTTATTGTGTCTAAAATGTTATTGTAAAGGAAGTTACTGTAATACTTTTTACTGTTCTACTAGTATTATGTCTTGCTACAAAAGAATGTTGATAGAAGGAGCACATACAAATGCATAGTGCTACATTTTTCTGATAAAATGGCCAACCAAATTGCAAGATCAAAATTCAAAACATATGGTGCATAAAATCGAAAGTCATCAAAAGTTTGTATTTTATAAAATGTATAAACTTCTTTACTAAGAAGTAAATACAAAATTTAATCCGTGAATATGCTCAGAAAACGCCTATTCTATCATATTCATGAATTAAGTTTTGTATTTATTTCTTAGTAAAAAAGTTTATACATTTTATAAAATATAAACATTTGATAACTTTAGATTTTATGTTCCATATAGCTGGGATCGATCCACATTACAATGCTATAGCACTATTTTATAATAAAAACAATTTTATTATAAAATTATAAATTAATTATTAAAATTATTATTTATTACAGTTCCTGGCAAAAGTGATAGTGAACATGTTTTTTGCCTATATCTTAATGAGAAATCTTTCAGAAATAGTGATATATACTTTAGCTGGTTGAAAACAAGTATTCATAAAATAATACTTTGCGAAATTTGGTATCAAAAGTGATGAATTGAAATATTTAATATTTAAAGAGGAATAAAAAATTATTTAAAATGTTTTTAATAAGCAATTTTTAAAAAATTTTATGAAAATATATTTTATAATGTAAAGAATGTAGTTTATGATACAAAGTATATATTTTTATTAATAAATAACATTCAAAAAATGTATTATTTTAGTGAATTTTTTTAATAAACCATAGTAATATTCTCATTTTTACTATATTTTAATGTTTTATTAAAAAAATTCATAAAAATAAAACCTTTTTTGAATAATATTTATTAATAAAAATTAACTAAAGAATTTTTTAAACTAATATATTTTTTATTATAAAATTTATTTTAAATTATTTATTAAAAAAATATTTTTTATTCCAAATTAAATATCAAAAATTACAATATATTATTTTTGTTATCAAATTCTGCAAACTATTATACTAATATGCTTTGTACTATTAAGAAATCTTGTTTTTAATATCTTAAAAATATATCTATAATTTTCATGACTTTTGAAAATTTCTCATTAAATTGTAAGCAAAAAATATATTTACTATTACTTTTATTTACTGGAAACTATAATTATATTATATTATTTAATTTATTGTTTAAATTTTTATTTATAATTAAATACAAATTTTTCTTTAAATAATGTTTTTAATTTTATTAATTAATAATATATAATAACAACAATATACAGATTTTTGTCTTTTTATTTTTATATGGAAATAAAAATAATAATCTATATTTTAATATACACACTCCTATAATAAATTACCAAAAATCCAAAACAAAGTATAGTAAACATAGTAAAATTAAAATTATCTCTATAATAAAAATTTTATTTTTATTAGTAAATATTTTTGTTTTTATCAAATTAAAGCTAAGAACCTGTATTTTAACATATATTTTTATAGATTTTTGAATTTAATTCAGGAATATTTCGGATTGTAAAGATAATTACACAAACTTTTTATAATTAAAAATTCAAATTATTATATTTTAATTATAAAAAGTTTATATAATCATCTTTACAATCCGAAATATTCCTGAGATTAAATTCAAAAAATCTATAAAAAATATATGAAAAATACAGATTCTTAGCTTTATTTTGATATAAAAACAAAAAATATTTTACTAATAAAAATAAAATTTTCATTACATAGAGATAATTCAATTTTACTATATTTACTATGCTTTGTTTTGGATCTCTGGTAATTTATTGTAGGGTGTATATATATTTTTCAGATTTTTAAATTTAATATAAGAAAGATTTTCTAATTGCAAAAATAAGTTTTTATGTTTTAATTATAAAAATTAATCTACTTTGTAATTAGAAAATTAAATTTAAAAAATCTGGAAAAAATATATATATTAAAATATGGATTATTATATGTATTTTCATATAAAAATAAAAAATATTGATTAGTAAAATTGAAAACATTTATATAAAGAAAAAAATATGTATTTTATTAATTTTAATACTGTTTCATTTCTTTTTATTGCCACTGTATGTAATATGAAATTTAGTTACATTATTATATTTCTTTAAAATCATACTATTTATGTATAAGTTGCTTACTGAATCTCGTTTTGACTGAACATATAAAGTAAAAAAAATACATACTCTTGGAACTGATACTATAAATTCATTATTAATATATTAAAATATTTTATTCATAAATGCAAAATTTTATATTGATTTTAATATAATATTTATATCCTATAAAAAAATTATCAGACAAAATCTGGTTTTTCTAGTTCCGGAAAACCATAGGTTTAGTTATAAAATTTCCGGATTAAGATCGGATTATTATCTGATTAAAATCGGATAGAAAACCAAAAAACGTGGAAAATAAGAAAAATTGTCCAGTACGTAACTTTGGGGAGCTATCTCATGATCCATAAGACTAATCCAGACAAAAATATACCATTCGATTCGTCAAGACTAGACGAATCGAATGGTATATTTTGTCTGAATTGAAATTGTGGATCACGAGATATCGCGTCCCCCATTTTTTCCGTTTTTAATCAGATTTTAATCCAGAAATTTTATAACTAAACCTGTGATTTTCCGGAACTAAAATTTAGCTTGATTATATTTTTTACAGAGTATAATTTTGTTGTGTTATTTAATAAATAGTTTTCCACAACTTGCATTTTTTCTTTAAAAATGATATATTTACAGCCAAACATTTTATTAATATTATTTCAGTTATAACTAGCAATATATTTCCATAATAAGAAAAGAAACGAAAAACTTTATCGGTAATATTTATACATTAGACAAGGATTTTGTGAATTTTCATTTATTTTTTTGTTAAATACAATTTGCCGGACCATATGACTAATCAAATATGGCATGAATTTAGAGAGATTATATTTGTATATATTTAAAATTCTTATAAGCTTGGAACTGAGTTTATAGAGGTGTGTGTTGACATTACACGGAGATCTATTTTGTATACAAGCCTCGCCAACAAACTCACCAGCAAACACAAGCCTCCAAAACTTTGAACTTAAACACCAACAAACTCACAACCATAATCTTAAAACTAACAAATCCACCAGCTTAGAGGTCAACAAGAACACAGCCTTTGCTGAATAAATTCTTTTTGATAACCAATGAGAGACTGTATGCAAAACATTTGTGATTCGGAAATTTTGTACACAATAGGCAATCAGAAGTTGTATGCGCTTTTTTCTCAGAAAAATGTTTTTGCAATTGACCACACATGTGTTTATTTGGTTAACCGATCATAAAGTATTTCGTATCACACGAATTGTGAAATAAATAAAATATAAAGCGAAGAAACAATCATTTCACAATTGCTGCGATATAAACTGCGCCATCTGATTCACTTATAAATACGTCACAAATTCTACATCCCCGTAAAGTATCATTATTAACCATTTTTTAAAATTCATCATGAAGAATCTTACTTTTATGCTTGTTTTTACTATTGTAACCTTCAGCGATTTTATTTTGGCTACGGCTCTCCAAAGAGAGGGAATTTATAGGCGAAGTATAATCAATAAATACTCGATTGTGATAAAAAGGGGTTACTGCCCAGCCGGGCATTTCCAATGTTCAAGTAACGAGGGATGTTGTCCCAACGGTACAGCTTGCAAACCAGGTGGACCTCCTTACCAATGTGACGGCATTACTTGTGGCGCCACTAGTGTAGATTGCAAAGACGGAACTTGCTGTCCGGCGGGCAATGTTTGCACCAGCGACGGCTATTGTAGTAAAGGATCATCATCAGTGATATCATCAGCAGCAGCAAAAACGATGGCACCACCAGCAGTGACATCAGCAGCAGCACCGCCACCAGGAGCGACATCACAACCAAAAACAGTGGTACCACCTGCAGTGACACCAGCTGCAGCACCGCCACCAGGAGCGACATCACAACCAAAAACAGTTGCATCATCAGTAGCACTGCCAACAGCAGCAGCATCACCAGCAGTGACGCCACCAGGAACATCTTCACAATCGGCAACAACAGAAAAGACCTCTCCGTCCTCACCATTATCTAGTTCTCCATTCAAAGGATTTTTAAATCCAGCCGTGACAAACAGTCCAGCCATGTCAATAACAATAATCCTAGTTGTTCTAGTTTCTCTGAATTTTGTATAATATTTTTATTTTTAAATTTTTGTATATTTACAGATGTAATATTTCTACTATTATACTTAAGTAATTTGAAGTTATCGTCAGTATTTTAAATGATTCTTCACTTTGACTAAAGTCCACTTATTACACGTTACTTTTTAATTAAATATTTTTCAATTCCGGAATATTTGTCCGATTTAGGCCATTTCCGGGGTACTTCCAAGCAACTCCAGTTATATTTAAAACCGGACTCAGTTTTGAAAACCAACAAACCAGTTTATAATATCATATCCGGTTTTAATATACAATGCACAAATACTGTACATAACATTCAATGTTAATGCAAGTTAGATTTTTCAACGAATATTTGCTGAAGTACATAGCAAGCAAGAAGCATTTACATCTTTTTTTTTAGATTTCTGCATCCATCCATTATCCTATAAGTCTTTCAAAGCAACTACGTACGGTGTTTTTTTATTAATTTTTTTTTAATTTGAAGTATCAAGTAATTTTTCCATTTCCTGAAAAACTATCAAATCCTTCTTTTGCTGAAGACTTTTGTAAAAGAATTCTTTAAAATCGATCAAATATGAATTTTAATGCGTTGCATTGTTTCTCATATGAATTTATCAGATTTCCAGTTCATGTTTTTTACTTCATCAGTGCGCCAAACTTTTCGTACATATTTGCACTCCATGTAAAGTCCAATACTATATCAAACCAAAAACCAGTTAACGCTATTATAAACCCACCAATAAAAGCGAAATACGCATGCCATTCCCCGGCTATAAAAGATTCGACAAGTAAATCCACTTTCTAACAGCTGGTTCTACAGATACAAGGTTGTGACAATCTCTACGTGGCTAATTTAATATCACGCCTGCAAAAGAGAATGACACAAATTAACGTCAATGCGACGATTTTAATGTGCTAAAATATTAAGTGTAAAAGGCAAGAGACAGTTGCAAGACCCAAAGAATCTATCCGAGCTTATATATGTTCGTTCGTCTTTGATCAATCCGAAGAACCCTGAATCTTTTCAAAGAAGATCTTTGGATTTGGGCTATATAATAAGTTTCTTATGCATACAAATGGGCTACGCCTTATCGAAATTCTTGGGATTGTGTGAGATTGAAATGTACTACCGCTACGGATCAATTCGCATAAATAGCTCACTTGATAAATTTTGTGAAATTTGAAGTGTATTTATTGTATAAATTATATAGACGTGTGTAAGGATTCTTTTAATGGGGATATTTGGATTTATTCAGAACCCATATTTACTTCAAAACTTTCTGTACATATTTTATGCTGCCACGGCAATCAAACACCATTTGAATTTATCGAACCAAAAATCAGAAGAAGCAACCAGCCAATACTACTATAAATCCTCCAATAGAAGCGAAATATGCATGCGTTTCTCCAACAAACATTATATTTGCTGAGTTCGTGGTGGGCTTGCTTGCGTTTGTTGGTGTTGTTGAGCTAAAAAAAATTTATCACAAAAAATGAATCGGAAAAGCTATTAGACTAAAGCATTAAATTCATTTGATATAACGAATTAATGGCTTTAAAATTCTTACGCGGTGAAAAAAGAAACGATAGTGGAAGTGATTCCACTTTGTACACTAACGACAGTAGATGTTACTCCATTAAACACCGAGACAGCGTAAGAGGTAACCTCTGGTATTACAGATGTAATGGTTGTGGCAACGCCTGCACCTATTGAGGTAGCCTCTTTAGCATCTGAGACCAAAGTTGTAGCTATATCCCCTCCAACGTTTGTCACATCACCAAAACCAAATGCATTATTTGAGATAATAAGGTTGCCAAAGAGGATGACACAAATTAACATCAATGCAACAACTTTGATGCATTTCATAATGTTTAATAATTTTAGAAAAGTGAATTAAAAGTTTAAATGTAAAAGGACAAGAAATAGCAACGAGACTCAAAGAATCTATACGAGTTTATATATGTTTTGCTCGTCCAACCAACGCCGAATTTAGATTATCGTTATAATCAGCATTCACATCAGAGTTCTTTATAAATCTAATGATAGTCTCTGCGAACTATCAATAAGGATCCATTTAATTCTTTTAAAAATGCACATTGAATATGTAACATATGATACTATTATTTAGGATATCGATGTTTGGATAATTAACGATATTTGGCAAAACAATAGAATCAGGTACATATACCGATACACAGTAAGTCAGACCCTCCATAGACGAAATCTCTCTATATCGACAAATTTTGTCTGCACAAAACCATATACAGTATATGTAAATGAAAACCTATAGCAAGTCGTCTTAAGAGGTTTGCTGTGTACGTGTTATAATATTTTATATTGCGAAAATTTGTATCCAATATTAAGTTCAAATTGTTTGCAGTTTACTTTAATGCAGAATTGATAATAAATACTAGAGATGGAAAATACAAAGAAACGGAAACAGAATTTTATTTTAGTGTAAAGAAATTAAAGATCTTCCGGGCAGGGATACAAATTCCATTGTTTGTAATGGAATTTGTATCATTTCTACTTAAACGACCCCATATTAGTCCAATTTTATGCTTTCTTTTCAATCATTTGATTGTATTCTTTCTTAGAACAATATGAGAAATTTCATTTATATTCTTTGAAAAATTTAGATTACGTATGAGCTACGTATATACTTGCATGTAAAATAAATCCAAGTTCTTGGCATGAAATGTAGGACATAGATAATTATGTCCATCACGTAAATGGGCCCTTTTACGGTTACTTCGTAGACATACACATTATAGGGGAACGAGGCACAGTGAGAGTAATTTAAGAGAATAAACCACCAATTTAAGCTATTTTTTCAGGTTTCAAAGCACGTTTGCTAAAACAACGAATTATCTCTCTTTTGAGTTTAAAAGGATATATTATAAAATTTTTATCTCCGTCCGATTATAAATAAATATAAATTCAATTATTTGATTACAACACGTTTTGAGTTATATTAGAATCTCACATGAATACAAGACTCTTTTGTTAAATTTGGCAATTATAACAACTTATATACGATAAAAACAGCAATAATGCAGTACATACATTTGATAAGTCAGTCACTGACAAATTTTAAAAAAGTAGAACAGTCGCGATTTTCATTATTCGTACGTATTATTCGGGTAACTGGTTAAGAAAGCAAGTTTTGGAAGATAATCTTTTTTGTAAGTCATTTATATTATTGGCAGGGCGTTATACATATAGTTTGCTTATTCATCTCAAAATATAGAGATAACTATTATAAAGAATACAAATCTGCTTGAATCTAATATTCTCTGTACTTTATTGGCATGTGTTCGACAATGGGCATAGCAAACCAGAATTGCTAACTCACTTGGCATATTCTAAATAAACAGATCGAACCGGAAATGCGTGCGGATAGGGTTGTATAATTACCCGAAACCTTTTCTCCGACACAACATTTTCCCAAAGTCATATACCCGACAACCCATCTCACCGACCATCAATATCCCTGACATAACATTTCCCGATGATATTTTCCTGATAAATCTATACGTTATGTTATAATGTCGGGGAAACGTCTCGTCAGGGAAATAATTTTCTTTTCGTAGAAACGTCTTGTCGGGGAAATGTCATGTCGGGTACAGTCCGCACGGAAAGTAATGACGGTTAGTTTTTTAAAAAAAGAGCGGTTTTTAAAGAGCAACTACAAAAACAATCATTTCTGGGATTCCTCTGCGTAGGGTATCATGTTCCTAGAAAAATCAATACATGATAAATTCTCGAATGCCGTTTGACATGTCAAACAAATTACGAGAACTTATTGCTAGTAATGCTATTCAATTTACTCTTCACAATTTTATTTTATAAAATAATATATATAGTACTTAATACAGTTCTTAAGCTGGACATTTTTTCTTAATGGGCGACTCTGTAATATCGATCTAGTTATGTGTTGTAAAAAGCTTTTATATACCTATTCAATAAAATTTTAGTAAAATCATTTAAAATCTATTCTACATTAATTCTGGGTCATTAAATACACCTCCAAGGGATGTGACAGAGAGAGGGCTAATGTATATAATGGCTTCTATTTTAATAATAAAAGCAATTCGAAAATATAAATAATAAATATTACACTAAATTCAGAGAAAGTAGAACTAGGATTATTGTCATTGACATGGTTGGACTGTTTGCTATGGCTGGACTGACTGGTTTTAATCCTGTTGGAGTAGATAATTCGGTCGAAGATGCCTTAGACATTGATTTTGGTGTCTCTACTGATGTTGGTGTCTCTACTGATGTTGGTGTTTTCATCGGTGTTGGAGTCGTTGTTGCTGTTTTTGTTGGTGATGCCACTGTTGTTGACGATGTTGATGGTTCACAAAAGCCGTCAAGGGTGCAAATGTTTCCCTCTTCACAGCAAGTATCATTTCCACAATCTACAGAATTAGGTCCACATGATGCTGATGCTGATTGTGTCGCTGTTGTTGATGGTGCCGTTGTTGTTGATGCTGTTGATGGTTCACAAAAGCCGTCAAAGGTGCAAATGTTTCCCTCTTCACAGCAAGTATCATCTCCACAATCTACAGAATTAGGTCCACATGATGCTGATGCTGATTGTGTCGCTGTTGTTGATGATTCTCTTTTCCATTTCAAGTGCGCCGTAGCAAAAGCAAAATGGCTGAAGGTTATAATGGTAAGAACGAATATTAAAATAAGATTCTTCATAACGAATTGAAAAGTGTTTTAATGATTATACTTTGTAGGCGGATAGGGAATTAATGAATTCACAGCGACAGTATGTATTTATAAGTGAATGTTGCAAATCCTTCTAAATGTGATTTACATTCTGATCAATGCCGAATTTAGATTGATGATTCGCATCGGAGTTTGTTCATGTAATAATGGCCTCTTTTGCGAACCTTTAATAGGTTTCTTTTAAGAATGCATATGAATATGTTACATATGATCCTATTATCAGGATCGATATTTGGATAGTTAACGAAACATTAGCAACTACGTATATCATTAGAATATACTATACGTCGATTTATCGGTATGGCAGTCGATATCATTTACTACAATCACGAGTATTCGAGTCTTTCCAGATAGCTTTGAATATTTTTTTGAATGATTGAGTGCTGTGTTTTACGTGAAAGTTGATTTCTGCGTTGTTTTAAAAGACTAAAATTTTCAATTCGTAAATCGATTTCTGTGTTGTGTGTTATAGATTTCTGTTTAATTTCATAAATTCTTACGTTATTGCTATCAAGTAACACATTGTCATTACGTATTGCTATATATTATGGGTCACAAGCTTAGTGTACTATCAATTTAAGAGGTTTACTGCGTACATTTTATATTACAAAAATTTTGATCTAATAATATAATTCAAATTATTTCCAGTTTAATGCAGGATTGATAATAAATACTAGAGATAGCAAATATAAAAAGCGGAAATAGAATGTTCAATACACTCTATTTTAGTAAAAAGGTAAAAGATATTCCGGACTAAAATGAGTTGTTTGACCCAAATTCCATCGTTGATAATGGAAATTGTATCATTTCTACTTAAACGACCTCATATTACACACGCGGGTCCTTCTTTATTTCTCCAATTTTATAATCATTTAATTGTATTCTCTTTTAGAACAATATGAAAAATTTAGATTATGCAACAAATCTATATTAAAATAAATTCTAGTTCCTGTCATAAAATGCAATTACATATGTTCAACACGTAAATGAACCCTTTTACAGGTGCTTCATAAACATACATCTTTGTAGGGAAAACGAGGCACAGTGAGAATAAAATCTTGTGATTAAACCAATTTAAGCTATTTTTTCAGGTTTCAAAGCCCGTTTGCTAAACAACGAATTATCTCTCTTGAGTTTAAATGAATCTCGCATGAATACAAGACTCTTTTGTTAAATTTGACAATTATAACAAGTTCCATATAATAAAAATAAAATATCTTATGGTAACAGTAAATTTGTACGCATGTTCACATCGTAATTTTTTACTGGTCGATGGACATTTCGAAAACAGCGATAATGCAATCAGTATCTTACATTTGATAAGTCAGTCGCTGACGAATTTTAAGAAATAGATCAGTCTAGATGCGCAGTATACGTATTACGTATTCGGGTAGCTCGTTAAGAAAAATCTTTGTAAGACAATCTTTTTGGAATTCAATTTATACTTTTGGCAGGGCATTATAGTTTACTTATGTATCTCAAAGATAACTATTATATAGAATACAAACCTGTTTGAGCCTAATACCCTCTGAACTTTGTTAGCGTGTGTTCGACAAATGGGTTTGGCAAAACTAGAATAACTCACTTGGCAGATTCTAAATAAACAAATCGAATCATAAATGCGCGCCGGTGTTGTAAATTATTTTATATATTGAGAAGTGGAAGCAATCACAGTTATTAACATATCTAGTGAATATTAGGAATTTCTTTGATTTTATAAATTACATTTAATATGTCTTCAATAAATCAAAAGTTTTATTTTCGTTATTTTTTGTCTTTTGCCGTTGGTCAGAACACTACCATAAGTAATTCCACTTCTTCTTCTGACGCTGGATGTGCGGATTATTTCGGAGTCAGTGAATGCAGTACATGTCAAAAATCAGCATATGGAGCTTCAGATGAAAGCGTTGCAAATTGTTTGGCGTTAACAGAAGACATCCTCAACGGTACAGCTGCATCTGATTCAAATGTTGTTTAACTTGCGATCATACCGTGATAAAGACTTTAAACGAAAATATTCAGAGAGACTGTCAACAAGAATTGACTGAATGAGCGCAACGATATGATCTAATAGTACTAAGGATAATATAACGGATAGTTGGGTTTCAGTCTACTCAGCAATCCCTAATATGCAGGCTATATGCAGTCAAGCTTCGGATGAATGTAGGTATCTACAGTATATGTTATTTATATCATAAAATTATCAATAACAAAAATTTGTATTTTATATATAGCTTACTGTGCTATCAATTTTCGCTCAAATTTAGGCAACTATACCATTCTATATCTAGGACTATCTCCACCTGGTGAGTGTTATATGGTTATCCCATAGAAGTAGCACCAATACCAACGAATATTATTTGCAGTGACTGTTACTCAGCGTTGGCTCGATTTCTCCAAAATGAACCCACCGTCAATTCCTGCCCTTAAAAGTTTATTGGATCAAGATATTAAAACATTTGAAGGAAATTTAACTCAATGTTTCGGTGAAAAAAATAGTTCTGGTGAAATGATAAAATTTATTGGAGATTAGTTTCTGTATTAAATGTATTCGTGTTAATGTAAAATATAAATAGTTTGGAATTTATTCATAATAAAAAATTTAATGCTTAAATAAATAAATTATTGTTAAATTAATAACGTGTTGTGTCGTGTCTAAATATCCAAATGCATTAGTTAAATCCTCATGATTGATTTATATAATTCTTTTCGTAAGAAATTCGTTTATAATTCTATGTTCTTTTAGTAAAGTATAATTTTCTGCGCAACGAATGCAATAAACATGTAGCTCGGCATATGGCATAACTGTGACTTTGGTAAGACTATTTTGTTTTACCAAAAACTCACAATTTGAAATTTAGCGAAGTAGATTGTTATTTGAATTAGATAATTATTTGGCTCAAATGGGATCACTAGACGTCAAGATATTATGTGCTAAAGTAAATGATTCATTGTATTTGGACATAAAAGTTTATGAACATATAATACGCAATATAGAAGCTCTATCAATCTATAAAAAGTATCAATGATCAGCATTTGTAATGTTCTTTGTGCTCAGAAATTTTGATACATTATACATGTACATGTACATGATCTATGAAAAGTTACTTCTGACGATCACTGTATATATTCTAACGTGCAATATAATATAACCTTAACTCTAACCTTATTCCTGACCATAATCGAAATGGTATTAATATTTTTATATTTTGTAATTATTTTTATATTTTATAATTTGATTGGTTACTTCTAAAAATCACGTGTCTATAAATTAATGGCTAGGTTACTAGTACAAAAGTCGAATGTTTATGTTTAATATACATGTACATTCAACATTTGTCTAACATTTATCATACGGAAAATTGATTTTTGTATGAATGTTGTAAAATAATGTTGAACAAACAATTTGGACATTTGTCGAACATTAGTTGAACATGTTTTTTATATGGTTGGGATTGAACCCGATCTGAAACTTTTCAGGTCGGGTCGGATTAGAAATTTACCGGGTCAGGTTCAATTCCAATCCAAACTGAAAATTTCAGTTCGGGTCGGATTGTCTTCAAATTCGGTCTGATCCGACCCGAACAGAGTTTTATTCATATCGACAGCAATATAATATAATCACTAGAAATATTTGAAACTTAAAAAAATAATTAATGTTATCTTGGAATGGGTCAATAATGAAACTCTTTGTCAAGAAAATAAGTGCCGTTCAGAATATCACTAGTAACTTTATAAACTTAAAGGGTCTAGCGAAAATAAAGATATCAGTATTAATTAAATTTTATACTCGTGCATTAGATGATCGATCAAAATGCTATAACAAAGCTTTCCAATTAAGTTATTATCCGACTTGATATACAGTATTCTCCATGTTTTGTGAAAGTTTATTGTTAAAGCAATTTCTAAACTTATTTATCAAAACAGATGCTTCTAATGCTCCAACCGGGGTCGGGTCCAACCCGTGACTCAACCCGAAACCCACATTTCGGGACGGGTCGGATTGGGGTCAAATATTTCGGATCAGCCTAAAAACGTTATTTCTCGTTCAATATTATTGGAATTAAACAAAAATTTGTGGGTATATACACAATTACATTCTGAACAACTCTATTTAGACACAAAATACAAGTGTCTTAGTAAAAACAAAAGTTATTAACGAAAAACTATTTTACGATTTTCGGATCAAACCTGATCTGACTCGACCCGAACAGAGCTTTAGATGCTTCATATGAAACAGCCAAGTTTGTCCAGTCATTCAGAAAGTTCAAGCTAGCCCATCTAGCTCAGCTGTTTGGTTTATAATCAAATAATAAATTTTTTATTTTGGAACTGATTATGAATCATAACAAAATTAATACAGTATGAGATATTGTCATTTCTGTTTTTTTTTTTTTGGCTGTCACTATATGCATTAAGCTTAACTATTTTTATATTTGTTAACGTTATAATTGTCATTATGATGAGAACATATATTTAATGTAAAACTTCAAGGATATATGGGTGAGTCAATAGAAATCAAGCAAATTATGGATCTTAATTTTGCGATAATCATTATTTTATCTCCCGCATTTTATATGCAATTTCTCAAAATTTATTATGTAAATTGGAATTCATGATTAATTAAAAATGATCAGTATGTTTATTTCTATTGTTTTAATATAAAAACTCATTTTTTGAAAAAAATAATTTGCTTGGTTTCTATTGACTCAAGTTAAATCACAAATGTAAAGAATTCAAATCTAGACTTAGTTATAAATCCAAATGTAACAAAAATAATAATTCTCTAACGCTAATAAAAAAATCTGTGAAATTTAAAATTTTATATTTTATAAAAAATATTTTCTAACAATTCATCATAATAATATAATATAAATTTATTTCTCCACCACTTGAAACACTTCATAATCCGCAATATCAAATTTCTTCAGTGCATCTTCAGAACTCAACAAACCATGGTCGTAAGATAAGGATTTCTGACAGTAATTCATAGAAGTATTAAAATTGGGACCAACCAAAGCTAAATCACGACCATTTCCAAAAACTGGACCATGACTTGCCTCGCAAAACACACTCAGGCCTTGTTTGTATTTGCTTAAAACTCCATTGATAGCTTGAATGTCATCAGAATTAAATTTAAATAAAAAGCTATTTGAAACTTTATAAAAAGTGTTTGATGAATTCCATTCAAATGGATTATAACCACCAATAATCTCTTCAGTATCTTTTATACGAATGGCAACGACTGTTGGACCTTTATTATCACAGAGACGATGAAAGTCAGTATTCTTGAATCCATCACGGCTACCTCGTAGTAACAACTTCCATTCAATTGATTTATTTTTTTGTTTGTCATCTTGTTCTTTAATCCAGTCAATTATTTTAGAGACTTGATTCGACGAAAGAACTGAAGAGTCAATAGTGTTGAGTTTGCGAACTGGGTGTAAGGTAGCCTTATGTTCTTCACTTCCTGGAACCAAATAATGATGCAACAAATCATTGTAAAGGGTTCCAGGCAAAATTTCAGCATACGGCATCACTTTATTATAAAAATCAACCGAATTGATGTGGAAGAAACGAATCAATGGCAAACACTTTTCGAGCGTGCACTTAAGTTGTTTAAATTCGTTATGTGTCCATTTTTCCGTTGGAATCGTCAAATCAACATCGTCCGCATCTGCAGTTTGAGAGATTCCCCATTCAAGCACCTTTTCCCAAAGGTCAATCTCATTCAAATTTAGATCATCACGTTCGAGTAAACAAACTAGTGCTAATTCATTTAGCTTGGTAAAATCAGTTGATTGAAAAATAGCAGTTGGATTTTGACATGTCACATCTGTGCAAAATTTTTGAAGTTGAGTCAAAGAGTCATACTCGAATGCAATTTGATTTATTAAGGCGAAACTCTCTGTTAAAGATTTAGAATGGCGTTCGATAAGATAAATCTGGACATATTCAATCAGGTCTACTAGAATCAACTCATCGGCTGCAACTAATAAATCCAAAAGTGTCGAAACGCCATGATTTTGCAAATCAATTTTTCCACTATAAATATATCTATTGAAATTTTAAATCAGATTTTTATTGTTACTTTATTTAACAGTATTGCTTCGTTTTTGACATGAAGTCACCTTAGTAATATTTCAAAAACTCGCGGTTCGATATTTGGTTTCTTAAAGATAATCATCTTGTTCGGTTCTCGCTTCACCCATGCATCGGAAAGTGCTACCGCAAAATATTTCGACTGTGCCACCAATATTGCCGAGTGGGCTGAAAAGGTACGTTGAGCATTTTGGTTTTCACCAACAATAATCGAAATGTCACAATAGTTGGAATTTTCATAGAATTCATTGAGCCTGTTTGAATGTGAAGTTAATAACAAGTCGGGTGTCATTTTTTATTTAGTTTCACAATGTTTTTATTTTTTTCTCTAATTGTGTTAGCGTTAGAAAGCAAGCGTATTGGAGATCTAAAATACATGTATACGTAAACAGGTATGACTATAAATGGATTTCACTGTATGACAAAAGAATGTAATCCATTCTCGTTAACGTTAATATGAAACCGGTTACTATGACATTTGCATTGGTAAGACCAACTGTTCCAAAGATAGAACAATTCCAATTTTAAATGGTCAATGTCCAAGAATCTGTCAATATAATTTTTTCTTTCCATTTATTTTGACATTATATTAATGTAAATTGCATTATTTCTATTATAATAGTTTATATTTATTCAAAATTATAACATTTTATGATTATGACTAAAATTCCTGTAGAGGTTTCTGCACACACACCCCCTAGTATACTTTTCTACCTGTACACGCAGTTATTGTCTTTGGCTTACTTCACTACACTCATTCTCATCTTCTTTTATATTTCATTGGTAAATAATCGAAGAATAGATACCCAATAACTCAATAAATTGACTATAAGATAGCGGTGCCAACAGTCGGTTATCAAGTGTGACTGACTTTTTACCATCATAATTAGTATATTCCTTGCATTTTTGACTCGATTATTATAGTATCCCTTCCGGCTACCATCAATCCAATATAACTTTCTTTCATTATGCGAGTCGGCTATTGAAGTACACAAGCTAAAAAAAAATTAGGGGAATATGTATGCTACTTCTAAAGCCATATAACACCGTTTACCTTCTTAGGATGGTCCTTTAAAAAGATAATGTGATCAATAGATCATTGCTTACTGCAGTCAGGAATATTACCAAAAATTGATTTGACCAATCAAATTGATTTAGAATATCTTATAAATCCTATAAATCATAGTGTAACACGGAATAGATTCCATAATAATATGTTCGATATTTCAATATTTTATTGTTAAATCTTTTTTATATTTCGATATATACATGTGAAATAATTCAAGGTGAATGTGACCTATCGGCTTTAGTTCAAATTAAACTGCATGTAACATGATCGAGACAGAGGACCCTGGGTTTCCTAATGATTTCATTAAGGTTCATATTATTTTCGCCAAAATTCAAATGAATTACTAGGAAACTATTAGAAAACTATTAGGGGAAATCTGAAATTCCGCTAGAGGTTCCATATTGGTGGAAACCTCTAGGTGGTACGACCAAACTATAATGGTTTTCTAATGGTTTTATAGTGTTCTGGCGACCAATCAGACAATGTCGAGTCGAGTAGCCAATCATATCAAGATCGCAGATCCAAATTTTTTGTGTCGAAATCACCAACAGCTCAAAATTTTATTAATTAAACCAAGATTGGGTAACTAGTAAAATATGCTTAGCTCGAAATTTTGCTTTTAATATGTCTCGGACGCCATAGGTAATCAACACTAATTGTATTAAACAAGTGTTATTACGAAAATTGATACATGTACCACACTTTAGAAACATTTAAAGATTTGGTCGTTCCACCGCGTTTCCACTTAGATTTTCCTAGTGGTAATAAAATGTCCTCTAACTGTACGGACCTGGAATCCTGCAGATCACCTAGAGGTTTCCTACAACAGAAACCGTTCTGAACCTCCCATTTTTTACCAGTGATAGATAGAATCACTGCACGATTACCGAATGTGATTGATACTAATGCTGAATCTACAAGTTTAAGTTTATTAGTTATACCACAAATTTGATTGTACAGTGGTGCTCAAAATTATTGCATCACCCAGACAATAAATTTCACGATTTAATAACGTTTCATATACAATATCAATCAATATATAAATAGGCTCATTATAATGCCTATATATGGACAAAACATCGTATCATATTTATTTTCCATATTGTACATTTAAAAAAAAATAAACCACATTTTACACCAAATCAAGCAATCTGTTTCTTTTGATCATTTTGATAAATAAAAATAAATCGAGATTACTCACTAAACTAAATAAATTTATGAAAATTTAATTCACAATTTTAATTATCACCTAGTATAGCCACCCTTCACATTAATTACATCTTGAATATGTTCCTCCATACTTTCAATTAGCTTCATTAAAACGCATTATCAATTTTGATCCAAATTTTTTGTATCACATCCCACAGTTGATCTTGAGTATGAATACCAGTTAATGACATTCTCAAACAATGATCTATTTTGTTCCAGAGATGCTTAATTGGGTTAAGATCAGGTGATTGGACAGGCCAATCAAGCAAACGGATATCATTATTATCAAACTATTCATACGTAGATTTTGCTGTGTGTTTCAGATCATTATCTTATTGAAAGACAACATCATTTTATTAATTTTATATCACTGGATTGTTCCTAAAAGGTCATCATTTAAGATTTCACGATATAAATTCTTATCCATATAACTATAAATATATATGATATTACCAATGTTGAAAAATCAGAAGCAATCCCAAACTATTATATTTCCACCTTCAAATTTTATTGTAAGTTTTACGTGATGCTCTTTCAAAGATTCATAATCACATTTTCAGTAATATTCACGTCTGTCTGAATTAAAAATCATAAATTTTGATTTATTTGATCAGATAACTTTGCTCTAATCATTAATAGTTCAATGACGATATTTTTTCGTAAATTTTAAATGTTGAATTCGATGTGTTTTTTTGAGATATGGTTTTTTTGCTTAATTTGTAAAGAAAAACCATTACAATGTAAAGTTCACTTTATTGTGCTTGTGCTGACATCAATTTTATCATCAGTTTTTAATGTTTTTTGAATAGACGTTGCAGTGAAAAAACTACCATTCAAAATTAGACGTATAATATTTATTCATTACGTCCAGTAAAAATTTTAGGACGACCTGGTTTTGGTAAATATTTAAAGGTATTATGAGTATCTTTTTTTTGCTTTATTCTTATAATGGAGAATTGGGAAATATTTTCACAATTTGCAATATAATGGGAAGAATATCCTTCTTTAAGAAGAATATAAATTTGAAATCTTTTTTCGACAGGAATATGTGCCATAATAATTTTAATTATACAAGATAAAAGAGTGAATTCATAAGTTTATTTTATTTATAGGAGGTGTGTTTTGTTTTGTTGTGTGTTTTTTATCCATTTATATATTTGTTTTGAGGGGGAAATGATCAAAAGAAATGCATCATCAGTTTTGTGTAATAAAGTCCAAGTTAAGCAAAGTGGTGTTACATTTATTCTTTAAATTGTATGTATTATTTATTTATGCTTTTAACTATATATGGGCTAAGTTTCATTTACCTGTGGCATCTATATTGCTAAAAATTCCACGATTCGTTTTTTCGTCCTAGTGATACATTACTTTTGAGCGCCACTGTATACATACTTTATTTAATTTTATAATTTTAGCATACGTCTCAAGAGAAGTTGATATTGATGTTGAAAATGATGGAAAAGATGCCCGAAAGAATATCCGAACACAATCAAGTTTCTTTTAACAACAACGGAGTCTCAACGTTTTAAAATATTGCATACTATTTTTTTTTAACAAAAACTAGACTTCAAAGAGCATAAAACGAACAGTACAGTCAGAAGAATTAAATAAAGGGAAAGATTTCATTTTTATTAAATTAAGACAATAATGATAATATTTTATCTACGTATTGTCAATCAAGTTAAAAGAATAATACTTCAGGTAAAATTTTATTTTTAATTAGTAACTCGAATAATACTGTTCGTAAATTTGTTATAACTTTTATTTATCGTAATTGTTTGCTAGTTTCACATCTTTATTTTTTATGTTATTCAATTTCTTAACACAAAAATCGACTTTCATAATTATTATATTATTTGTCTTATTATTATTTCATTTTATAAAGTGGAATAACTGTAATGAATGTTCAGATCCAATATTTGTAATTGTAGTAAATGTTAATTATTGATAAAAATAAGTATTCTGCATGTTTCTATTATTACAATCGAATTTATAAAGCTGTATGATCTATCAAAAATAAAGATATCCAAAAAATGCGCAAAACTTAGAGTATCCTTTGAATGAAAGGTTTACCAATTATGAATATCGTTCAAAAGGATGTTTTGGAACATTTTACAAAACAAGCTGGCTGTGCAAAGACCATCGTCTCTCCGTACAATCACATACTAGGAACCAGAAAAGTGTGATTTTAAAGAAGTTGTGACTATACTTGTTACCCATATGGGACAAAACAATATTTTTGCTTTTTCTAAAAAACTAGATTTAAAAAATATATATTAAAACCTTATAAATATACACTTTATAATTATATCCATAATTAAATTAAAATTATTAATAAATTATTGAAAGATTAAAACGGGATTTTTGTGGGATATGGGTATGGGCCTGAAAAATTTCCTTTTTTGAACAAGTATAGTTGTGACTACGTACGTATATGGAGATCAAATTTCTTATGCTTCATAATAGCTGGAACTGGGAAAGGGTGTGATTGCAGAGGGTGTGATTATATAGAGGGACGACTATATAAAAGAAAAATGTGAATTTGTATTGAAATTTTCACAGTGTTCATAGCAAATAACATTGTAGTTTATAAATGAATACCGTATATAAAAATAAGCTGACCCCATTTTTTATCTTAAAACGGTGTACCAAAAATAAGCTACCCCATTCTTTTAATAATTTTCTTATTATTAGATCAAATTACATTAACATTATTTAAGAAAGAATGATCGCATTATTTAATCGAAAAATGAGCAAAATTAGATTATATAAGTTCTTCCCCAACGTCAGATTCTGGCCAGATTTATTAATAATCAAGCACCCAAAAATAAGCTATCAAGCCTAATGTCACACAAAGCAGAAAATAAGCTTACGCTCCTTAATTTAAAGTCTAAAACGCTGTCAAATGGATAACTTATTTTCGGAGTTATACAGTATATTCTAGAATAATATGTAACTCTTTGTTAAATTTTTTTATATTTAAATATAATACATTTATTTTTCAATCCACTTCCTAAATTAAATTTCTAAATGATAATCATTTTATATTTCAAGAGAAACGTGACCTATCGGATTTGATTTCTAACCAAAAACCGAGATATGCAAAGTATGGTATTCAGTAAACAGCCCATTGGAATAGGAATGAATCGATTCTCAACCCAGAATCGATTTCAAATCGAATAATCATTTTGATTACTTGACTAATCGTTTTAAAGAAATCTGATTATCGATTTTAATTTGAGGAATCGATTCTCAACCCAAAATCGTGTTTCATAAATATCATTCAATATCAGTTACTTTATTAGATTTATTAAACTATATATTGGCAATAGTTTGTTAGTTATTATCAATATTAACATTGTTGTTGAATGACAGAATAGTATTACATTCGCAACATAAATTCGTTAATTCCATAGTCTTGACGAATTTCTAGAGTTCAGCAACGATCATTTGACTTTATTATTTACTATTTTACTTTATTATTTTAATTTACTTACTCTATTATTACTTGATTTACTTTCTTCTATTTTATTTTTATTTTACTTTATTTAAATATTGTATTTCAAAAACATGTATCTAGTTTTAAAGTTGTCAAAAATGTGTAAATAGAAGTGTTATCTCTGTCTTTTATTCTCATGTTAAATTAAGAAAAAGTTGAAATATGAAAATAATAATATTTTAACTTCTCTTCAATAATGACATTTCCCCCTTTCCTTCGATAACATCTTATTCACTTCAAACCTTCTGTACAAGTGACCTTTATATCTTTTGTGTCAACAAAATTGAGGATTCTATATCTTTGCACCTTAACGAATTGAGGGTTTTATTCATTTTAATCGATTAAATTTGGAAATTGATTAAAATTTAAGAATCAATTAAAATCGATTTTAAAAGACAAAATCGTTTAATAACGATAATGATAAATCATGTAAAATCTTGATTTTTGCTTGTGAAAACATGCAAATGTTACAACGCACATGACAAACTACTCTGTCATTTAACAAAATTATAACAGAAAAGCTACTGCTAATATAGAGTTTGATAGTGATGTAGTGATTGGACTCGAATCAACTCGTTTTGACTCGAGTCAAGTCGAGCCAAAATTTTTCTGACTCGAAGAGTACTCGAGTCAGAATACGAGTTAAAATACGAGTTGACTCGAGTCATAATTTTTCTGACTCGAGTTATACAGTGGCTCACACATGTAACGGAACACGAAAATTAACTTACTAGGATTTTTATTTCCATGACTATTAGTTCAAACAAAATAAAGTGTTCATTTGAAACCTTGAAACCACACTAAAAAATTCCTAATATCGTTATTTTTTTCACTCAAATTGATTTTTCCTGAACGTTTCTATTGGAAACATATTTTTGCTGATTAATGATAATAGGGGACGAATGATTATTGTTGCGGTTCAGGTGGTTATTATTACGCATGAAGTATGCTGTCTTTTCATTTTTTATCGCAAGAGTAAATACGTACTATTCTTCTTGAGCAGGACATTGGCTCTAAGGTTTTAACCTTAACGGCTCGTCGAATAGTGTTGTATTTCTAGTCCTATTATTATGCCGCAAGAGAAACCGTCCAAGCAAGAAGGAGTCGCGTCACGTTCGCTATAATAAAAAAGTGGGCTCGAAAAAGAACAAAATTCGACCTTACCAGCAGAGTATAATGAGCCAGTTTCTAACAACGACGAACAATCTTTTTCAACCCGAACCGGGTATATATAATTTCGAATTTTTTTATAGTATTAGTGTATAAGGGTCCCTTTTGCGTTGATAGATCAACTACCCATGTTCCTTGTTACGAGTATACTTTGGTATGCAAAAATTTCGTTTCTACTATTGAGACGATAGAGCCTCTGACTTTGTATGTATGTTGTAGAAATCGCATAATTACTGTACTGTATAGTGGTTAGGGTGGTTCGTTCAGTCCGCAAAAAAAATAAAAGGAAGTTTACGAGTTAATACACATTATATATCCGTGCATTACATAGGACCCAGTTTGTGACTCGAGGACTATGACATCGAAAAAGAGTGGAAATGCGTTCCTCTTTGTTCGTTAGATCGTGTAACACCAAAAGGAAGGAAGAAATATCTATAAAAGAATTGTTAGCTGAAACATTAATTCAAGAAGCTAGGTTAGCCAATAATATCCGATATCCCATTTAGATTTCTTAGACTAAACCCTTCCTTTCCCCAACACAACATTTCCCCGAAGCCTATCCAGACAACCCATATCCTCGACAACCTATTTCACCGACCACCCAATCCCCGACATGACATATCTATCTCCGACATGACATTTCGTCGATATAACATTTTCCTGACAAATCTGGCTTGGTGTACTAAGCAAAAATGTTGGGAGGACTTTTATATATAATCTTAACTCTAATTCTAACCCTAACCTGTTAATTCCATGCAAAACCAGCCAGTTATTATTACAATATCTCTTGTCAGGGAAATTTCCATTCGGGGAAACATATGTCGGGTAAATTAATAATATAGCAACACGTTCGACTAGAAATTCTGAGTTTACATTATTTAATCAACTTCGATAACATAAACACTTACCTGCATTTATCAATTAAATTTAATATCATGAATAATAAAGTCTCTTCTTTTAATATATAAATACATTTTAACGCAGAATTGATTCATACACACGAATAGAAGTTCTATAACACAAAACACATACAAGTTAGATAAATATTAAATGGCCTCTGTAAGAATAAATCTATGATTTAGTGAAATGATCTAATCGATTTGCTTGTTGTCGTGTTAGATAAAACCTTCTATTACACGCAAATAAAAGTTATTAATGTTGTCAATATTACTGCACTTTTTTATGACATTGGACAATAAAACTAGCTTATCTATATATAATTCATTAGAGCACTTTTACACTACATAAGTACTCTTTTATATAATTCTAAATACAATAAAATAGAAATTCTAATTACACAATCTGTTCTGGACGGACGCAGAAATTAACTCCCACGTTTATTTACGATTACCCATCATTTCAAAGTTTTAAATAAAACACTGATTTATAAATCATTGTAGTGAGTGCGTTTTTTATCGGGTACGGGATTACTATAGCCCATTTATTACTGAACATTCGTCATTTTGGCACTCTCTCAGAACCAATTAGATACGTAATCAGGTTTGTTCTGAATATTCAGATTACATAACACACTACGTATCGGAAAATCAGAAATAAAGCTGGATATAGAAAAATATGTAGACATAACGATAATCTTTTATTCATTACAAATGTCGCAAAAGAAAGGAACCTATGCCACACAGACGGCAACCATCATTTAAATTACCTTTCTTTTAAACCTTTATCACTTTCAACAACAGCACGACACACAAGCTTGCGCCGTACCTGGGACAAACAAGAATACGAACAGCGTGCACGAGATCGTGCTCGTCGTGAACAACAGCTAGAAGAGAAGGAAGAGCGAAAACGTAAAGGTCTAAAACCTAAACCAGCTGACGATATTTTGGATGAAGAGGGACCTCGTGATTTGCTCACGGCGCGCACAGAGAAAGTTGTGCTCGATGCTAACTTGAATAGGACCCAGTTGATTCAAAGCACTAGTATTGCCTCGAAAATACCAGGATATTATTGTAAGCGTGAGAACTTATTTGATGTGAATTTATTGGTTGATGACAATTCATAAAGATCAAAGAGCACTAGGCCAAACTATGAAAGTCGAGCGTAGTACATTGGATCAAGTACAAAAACGACTGGCTCGTCTAAAAAAAAAAAAAAACAAAAAGAAGAGAAACCACAAGAATATGATTTCGAGGCGCGTGTCGAACAAATGCGTCAGCAAGAAGAAGAGGAGAAACAGAAACGCAAAGAAAAGAAAAAGGCAAAGAAATCTAAAAAGAAAATGCAACTGCAGACAATGAGGGGAATGAGGATGAAGGATTGGATCCGGAAATGACAAAGTTAATTGGGGGGGGTAAATTAGTATTATTATTATTATTTTAAATATGTTATTGCTGAATAATGCGTTGCTAAATTATATCATTATTGTTTAAAAAAAGGTTCGGAGGATTTGGAACAACAAAAGTTTGAGTGTTAAAAGGTTCCCTCCAAAAGTGAAAATATTAATACTACTGCATCGCGTCCTTTTACGATTCTTGTCAATTTATTGACTTCATCGAGTTACTCGATCAATTTCGATTTTCTGTTTCCAAAATTATTTTCATTAATTAGTCAGTATTCTTATTCCCCTCTTGAATAATAATATTTTACAGGATGATCATTAATTATAGTATTTTTATTTTTGAATAATAAATCAAATAAATGCTGAAGTGACGATCTACTAAATTACATATCGATATTTAGAAAGTTGACGTGTTAAACACGGATCGATATATCGAATTTCTATTCGTAAAACCTAGAATATTTGTTGTTACTACATTTTTTTCTTCCAATTAAGACTATACAATACGGTAATTTCAAAACATTTAAGGACTTGTATAATAATAATTTTTTTTCTGTTTTCTATTTGAAACTCAAGATTGTACGCATTCGATCTAAAGAGGGGACGAGTCGCTTTGAGGTTGATCTAAATGACGTTGTTATGACGTTGGCAGAAAAAGCGAGAAATCTTTGTTTTAAGTCATGAACTTTATTTTTTTAAAACTAAACAAATGTCTTTTCCATCAAGATTACAATCCAACTCAAATTTGATCCGTCCACACTTAAAATATCAAAGACCTACAAAATGGTGTACAAGCGAAATATCTTTCTGAACAGAGCATTGCTCAGTTAGAAATAAAGTACGCATAGAAAATATTCCTTATTATTTATCAAGTTTTTCTTAGTCTCATGAACTCGTATCATTATCTTTTTAGTCATAGTGATCTTATATACATAACTTTTGAAGATGGAGCGAAATCAGGTACTTCAGCAGTTTCCGCTGGTAAACAGCCAGCATTAACAGTAGGATCATTTAAGCCAACAACAAATATCAATTCATCATCAACATTGAATATAAAACAAGAAGTTGTGGATGATTATTTAGAGAAACAGTCTGGCTTATTAAGCGAGGATGTGATCTGAAATTGTATGCGTGAATTGTATGTATGCACGTCGATTTTTAGTAGAGACGACGTGTATTCATTGCTGCTTTTTTATTTAGTATCTAAATATTAATTTGGTTTTTCGTGTTTAGCTGTAAGCATTATATACAGGGCATGTGCGATTACTGCATGTCCTTGACATTAATTCTGTATTACTGTTGCGTGCTACTATTTTAATGGGTCAAAGAGGGGTTTTTACGCAACTGGGATGAGAGCTAGACTGAATTATTTAC